CCCTTCTGCATGCTGCTTCTCCATATCTGCCATCTCTCTACAGTCGTGTTACTTTGGCCCTTGTCACCACAGTCCCCATCTTCAATACACATGACCCTGCCTCACAGATTTCACTGCCTATCCAAATGATTCCAACCTCTTTTTTTAAGCCTTTACTACCCAGGTTCTCCAACTCTTCAATTGTTCCACTTATGTGTGTATTCTAAGTCATTCTCGGTCTCTTTCTCTCTGGGTCCCTTTTTTATGGTTTTCATGTCCAGGAATATTCATGTGGAGAGAGAACATTCCACTTACATGTAGATTAGAAAAACTTTTTAAAAAATGTTCAGTGTATTCCATTAATCCTAGACACATAGTTGGTAGGCTATTAGGGATGCAAGAATGCTTGGACAATATCAGATTTAAATATTGCTTTTTGTGGTTCTTTGAGACATATCCAAATAACTAATGGCAAAGAATTTTTTTTTTTTAAGTTTTAAGTAAGCTCTGGTTACTCTGCAGTCAGCAATGTTGAATGCTGAGTCTTGGCAGCTTTCAACTTGACAGAAGATGCTTCCTAAAGATGCACTTCTGTGAAGCCCCTATAGAACCAGTCTGTGCTAGGCCAATTCATGATTTTTCTTGTTCTCTCCTCTTTAGTACTGTTTTCACTTGTTGGAAATGTATCTGCTTGTCAATGTTTGATAGTGCTAGAACCTTTTACATACTACAGACTCAGTGTTCTACTTCAAGAATGCCAGCACTTATAATTTTCAAGCCTCAAACTCCCAAGTAATGGAAGTTATTCAATTATGTTGCATTTTAAAGTAGAAATGGCAGTATTATATAACTACAGATTTCTATTAAGTAAATTGGCAATGCTATTGTTTATATACCACAATTGGGGCACTCCTAACTTTATTTCTGTATACCAGTCTCAAGCTGTTTCTAATCTATTCTCTAACGTCAAGCCACTTTGGTTTTTGTCCCAGAAATTCTGAATAATTACTATGATACAGAAATTTACAGGAGTTTAAATTAAAACAAAATGTTTTGAAACTCAGGTAGACATAAATTATTCTTTTTACTGTGAAGAAAAGACTTCCAGTTGCAACATCTCTTACTAGAAAGTTTTTGAATTTTCTAGATATGACTCGTAAAGATTCATGAGTTAGAACTTTACAAGGATAAAAGCATTTTGGAGAATGCATTTGAATGTAAAACAAAATCACAAAAGTAATTAGGTGAACTTCTCTAGAAGTCATCTACTAATTTAAATGAGCAAATTAAAACCACTAAACTTTTGGAAATCAAACATACATGTTTATTATTTAGTTTCTGGTACTGTGTTCTTTTTATTTGCCTATGGAATTACTTGTAGAACCATTATTTTGAAAGTATGCTATTTTAACTTGGGATATCAATAATTTGGTCCTGGTCATATGGTAGAGCGAGCAATGGGTAGGAACCTGTTGGCTTGGGCTTTACTCTTACACTGCTACATACTAACCAGGTTTAGGTCTGTGGTCTTTTCATATTGACACTCTGGACCTTTGTTTTTTCATCTGGCCAACAGGAAATACCTGATCTCCTTGCCTCTTAACATTGTTATAAGATCACTCTGAAATTATAAAGTGGCATAGAATATAAGACATTCTATTCATTATTACCTCAGAATGCCTCTCAGATTTCATTGCCTCAAATTTATTATTTAGGAAAAGTACAAACTTGAATGCCATATGGAGTCCTTGTTGACACTGCAGATGTTGGTTAATTTTAGATTCTAAAAGAACAAAAGAATAGAAACAGTAGCAGGCAAATCAGCCTCTTTAGCTTTTTTTTCGAAATCTCCTATTATCCAAATACCAAACTAAAAATGGCAGGCTAAATATTATAGAAAATTACATCATTTGAAGCACTGAAATTCTGTATATCCAAGCCCTTTTGCAGAACATGAATTTATTCCCCCCAAAGTACATTACCAATGGATTTAATGCTATAAGATTAATTATGTGTTGTGTTTTTTGTTTGTTTTGCAGGACAAATGAAAGGATCTAAAATTTAAACTTTAGAATAATACAGAGTCAGGGGAAACATTAAAGTCTCAGAAGAACCACAGAAAGATATGAAACCCATTTAGATATCCAGAGTCTTTCTTGAACTAATGGAAAATGGAACTAAGCTCAGAAAATCTTGGGATCTGTTCCTGAAGATCTCATCATATTTACAAGAGGGAATTTCTTTGCAAAAGAACAGGTGGGACAAATGTACATATGCTCATGACAACTGCTTTTATGGTCCCAGTCATTTGGAAGACCTGTTCTGCTCTCGTGTGCCACCTCTCGCGTGCATAAGACATTTCTATTCATTTTGTCATCTCTCTCTGCTTACACAAGCATAAGCAAGAGGTAGGTGTTTCTATACAATATATAGATGGCATCTGTCACTTTATCTTTTGTATTCATACCACCCACTCAAAGAAAATATCCTAGAACAAGCTGAGCATTTTCTAAGTATCTTAAATTTTTTAAAAATTATGGAAGAGGTGGAACAAAGGATACTCCACGTATTTCCTTTACTCCATAATGGATATGGGGTAACAAAGGAAGCCTCATAGCAATTCAATTATCTAAAGCAGTTGAAAATGGTGTAGTTGATATTCTGAACCTATACTTTTAATGCAATTTTTCAGAGAATAATTCAGTCTCAAGACTGCCATGCACATCTTAGGGGCTTAAAACAGTGAAAGAGTATCATTCTAATTAAGCCATAAATGTTTTACCTATAAAACTTGTTCTTCAGAAAGGCATAATGACACATGCCTATAATCCCAGCATTCTAGGAGGCTGAAGCAGGAAAATTGAAAGTTCAAGCAAGCCTGCACAATTTAGTGACTTAGGGAGATCCTGTTTCAAAATAAATGTATAAGGGCTGGGGATGTAGCTCAGTGTGGAGGCCTTGGGTTCAATCCTCAAGACTGCCAAAAAACAAGCAAACAAAAAAACAAACACTTTGTCTAAAAGTTGTAAGAATTGCAGAAGATATTTTAACTTGTACTTTAGTGATGTAGTAGATATTGTATTGTCATTATTAACTGATTGTGCTAGTTTGAGTAAGAAACACCCAACTAAGTTGACTCAGCATAGTTCTGGGTGTGGAAGACCCACCCTACGGAGATTTGTTGCCAGAGTGGTAGAAAGGGAAATGAAAAAGGAAGGCTGCTGCTTCTTTCTTCAGAGGCGCTCCAATCTTCACCTTCACTTTGGACATGGTCTTCATCCTCCAGCACAGACTCTTCCAGTGCAGACCCTTGGCCTCCTGATTCTGACTCACATGAGACACTACAGTGGCTCCAGACTTTTGATTGCATACTTTGGCTCTCCAGGACCCAGACAGACTTTTGCACTCTTCCATACCTGGCTCTGTGGGTGGCTATTGTAAACCAACCCTGTAAAGTCTTATATATTTGCATGTCTTGCATTAAATGTTTCTTTAGTAAAACACTGACTGATACACATATATTTCAAAGTTTACTCTCATGTGGATTAGAAATATTAAAAGTAAACCCCAAGGATAGGTTATATAGTGCTGCTTGTTTTGGATGAAGTCTAGACTTTTTAGCATTAAAAAAATATTATTGTAGAAAATATGCATTGTGTATATGTGTGGGGGGGTATGTTTTTACACATATGTGTGTACTGTTGAATGAGAAACATGGTGATGAATGTGGTAGGATTTTGTACATTTGGCATATCAATAGTTTCTCTGGCAACCTTATGATTTCTCTAAATTAGATGCTTGATTTAATTTATAGTCATTTGTTTGGGAAGAATATTACATATGTGTTGGTGTTAAATTCTATCATTATGCTTATAAAAATATAATAAAAACAAGTATGGAATATAATAATAAAAAAGAAAGAAAAATCAGATCTTAAAAATGTGAACTCTTTTAGTTGTTTTTGGATTTATATTTCTTTTCTGTGGGAAATTTTGTTAGAAAATGTAAGGGATACAATCAATAAGCATATGATATTTATCAAATTAATAAAACCAAGGAGTTTATAAATCATAAAATTTTGAGGACAGTTTCTCAACTATAATATGTAACTTTGTTTTATTTGTAAACACAATATTTCAAAAATATTATACGAAAAGAAAATGATCAAGAACATATAATATTTGAAGATCATATCAAACTAACAATGTATTTGGATTATCAGTCTGTGTTGCACAAATTTTTGTTTATTTCATATCTTTTTTGCTGTCGTATATGTATATTTGAAATTTTTATTTAGTATCTTCATTTCTTGTTGTCATGTATGTTTGCAATCTTTAATAAAATAAATAAAAAATACTATTAACCACCCTCTTCCCAGCCTGTCTCATAAAAAACCTCTTTTAGTACAAAAGGCCTAATAAGATGTGTGCAAACTTATTCCGTCACATAATTTTCACAAGCTAAAACAAAACTTAAACCCTCTAAATATCCTTCCCATATGAACTTTGGGTCAGTCCAAATGACTATATGGATTCAAATAGCTTCATTCACTGCTGAAAGTGAACTAGAACTGACCCTCTGAAACAGGGGCTTATTGCCATGGATTTAAGCATAGATACAGGTAGTGTCTGAGGGAAAAAGAGAACTCTGGCTTGATGGTCAGTCCATGGGAATGCTGCTATGGAACACTGCTATGGAACTTTCAAACCCTGAAACAAAATAATTTTACTGTGAAGATGTTGAACCAATTAAAATTCACTGCAATTCAAATTAGCTTAATCAAAAAGGTAACCTGATTGGCTCAAGTAACTGAATAATTTATATTGTCTGGTTCAGGTAAAACTTGATCCAGGGTGTGACCCGGGACATGATTTTTCAATTCAGCATTTTCATTACTGATTCTATTAGAAATGTCTCTATTAAGCATTACTGAGGATATAGCTACATCCTTAGCTCCCTTTACCTTGTTTGTTGTTGCTGTTGTTGTTTTGAGATAGGGTCTCATGAAGTTGCTAGGTGTCCAGGCTGGGCTCAAGCTTTCAATCCTCTTGCCTCAGATTATAGGTGTGTGCCACCATGCTCAGCTAGTTCCATTCTTAAGCAAGCTCTCCCTTCCTGTGCCTGAAATGGATGCAAATTGCTCCAAGAACTGTTTATATCGAAGCCCAAATCCAGAGATGACATTTCTAGTAGGTTTAGAATCAATTACTGTGCCCAGGGGACCAGAATATAAAGATGGTCTAGACCTTGGTTACATGCTTCACACGTAAGTCATGGAGATGGGGGAAGGAGATAGACATCACTGCCTTCCTCAAGCCCATGGACTAGGAGTAAAATATTTACTCCACATAGCTGAGCTATAAAGGACATTTCTAAAAGCCTACCTACTCCAGCAAGTCTGTAAGCCTGTTTTTTCAAAGACAGCTATGAGAAAATGAAGAATTAATAAAGGAAATAAGGAGGAATGCTAATAAAAGAAGGTCAAAGGGTATTTGACCTTGGGGCAAGGGTAGCACTAGAGCTGTAGGGGTCAAAGTTCATCCTACAAGTTCTCAAACTCCAAAATCATCATCTCTATCTGAAATTTCATTCCAGGGAGGCTCCCGTATGATGAATTTTTAAATCCAGGTATTCTCTAGAGCCTACAATTCATTAACTGAGGCAGAATCAATCCATTTTATTCTCTGATATTTTTTAAAACTATCATCCCAAGTATTGTTGGTTGCAGGAGAGGTAGATTAAATGTAAAAAAAAAATTCCTTACTGGAAAAAAAATTAAAAAATATAATTTCCAGGCCAAGAATGAGGAACTACTCTTAATGGAATGTGAAAGTTAATCCTTGGAAAGCTGAGGTTCTAATTTGGAAACCCAGTCACATTGCCTTAGAACATTCCTTTGGAAGGTTTAGTTGAAGTTGGGGAGACTTCTGGGAATTTATGCTAAGGATATTCTTGCTTACATACATGCCAGGTTATTCATTACAGTATTGTTTGTAATAAATAGCAAAGACTGGAAACAACTCAAGTGTCTATCAATGAGGGAATGGTTAAATAAACTATAGCATATCCTACGTTGTAACGCTGTGCAGCTGTTTACAAGAATGAGGAAGCTCTGTCAGTACTGATATGAACAATCTCCAAGATTCATGCTAAAAGGACAAGCAAGAAATAGATCAGGGGATACAATATGCTACCTCTTCTGTAAGAAATGGGAAAGAAATAATGTACAAAAATTGCCTGTATTAACTTAAAGAAACAGGAAGGATACACAGAGAAACCAATGTAATTAGTTATTTCTACTGATGAGGGTTGGTGGGAGCTGAGTATGAGGGTCAGAGTGGGAGAGAGACTTTTTACTCTGTATCTTTGCATTTTGATTTGTGATATATATACATGTATATATACATACATGTGAGATATATATATATACATACATATATATACATATATGTATATATCTATATTAAGAGAAGTAATTCAGGAGTCATATGGTAATTTCACAAACCTTATCACTGTAATTAATAATAGAGACCTAAATTGATGCTCAACCAAAGGCATACTGTTGGAAGGGTTCTTGAAGTAGGCAGCTCCAAGAGAAGTCCACACCACACAGATTCCCATTTTCCTTAGCTAAGTACACTGCCTCCTCTGTTCAATATCTTTAGTGTCCTGGCTTTTTTTTATATATCCTCTTTCTTCTTCTCTAAAAAAAAAAAGTCAGAGATCATAGAAGATGCTGCTGACAATTTTTATGTTTTATTGACTCATAACGAGTTAAATGAAAGCACTGCCTAGTATGTGCACTGTTGTGCATATTCCTACATGCTGAGAAAGTTCACTAGTCATCTTTCCAAGAAGTGGGACTCCTGGTTCACATTGGGTTAGGAGTTTCTTTTTGATGCTCTCAAGGCATCAAGGGCATAGTTTTGTCATTGTGCTTGAAACATTCCACAGGACTTACTAGGGAATGTGGCAATCATTCCCACTAGTGGGTGAGTCTTTTGAGGAACAAGGACTGGGTTTTATTCATTGAGTTTTGTATTCTTAGAGCCCATCCCAGTACCTGCTATGGAACTGGTACTCCCATGAGCTGAACTTTCAGCCACCTAACCACTCATCTTTGGTGGCTTTCCCCTGCTTACCTCATGAAATCCAGGAGTAAGCCTATTCAGTGCTATGTGGGAAACATACCTTGAAATCTACTCTGCTTTGCCATTTTCAGTGCTATTGCCCTACCCAGACCCCCAGTACCAGCAGCTGGCCTGTCGTCTGATCTCTCTCCTACTACCCATGGAATGCATTCTCCATCTGTAGTTAGGGTGATCTTTTAAAAAAACAAAATCATTTAGCATCCCGATTAAAAGCCTTCAAAATCTTCCTATTACAGTTAGAACAAAATTTAAACTCTTTACCCTGATCTTCAAAACCTTAAGTGATCTGGCCCCCATCTGCCTGGTTTCAAGCCTACCCCAGCCCTGGCTTCCTCCGCCTCATGCTGGCCTTCTTTCAGTTCCTGTTCCTGTTGCAAGGGCTTCATCAATGCTCTTCTCTCTCCCTGAAACACTCTTCCACCGGAATTTTGTGTTTCAGCGCCTTTGAGTCATGAAGGCTCAAGTCCTGCTTCCGGGAGGCTTATGCTGACCACCCCAGTTACATCATTGTTTTATGCTATTTGGAGTAACTCTTAACTAAATAGATTAGAATCCCTGCTGGTTTGTGTTTACTACCACCATTATAACTAAGTTTTATAAAGTCTCTTATTCATCTTTGTATAACCAAGTACTTTAGAATAGGGCTGGGCCTATAATTGTCCTAAAAAAAATTCTGTTGAGTAGGTAAGAGACTTGAAAACTAATCATGGATAAAAGATAGATTTTGCCAGATGTGACAGTATATGCCTGTGATCCCAGCACTCAGGAGGCTGAGGAAGGAGGATCACTGCAAGTTTGAGGCTAGGCTGGGCTATACAGTGAGTTCAATGCTAGCCTGAATTACACAGCCAAATCCTGTCTCAAAAAAAAACAAAAAATTTTATTTCGTTTCTCCAGTGACTTCTTTATATGACTACTTAATTGTAAAGGCAATAGATAATTATAAAAAGAAATGAGTATGGCATGATTGGCTTTTGAAGAAACATTGTAGAAAGGCTAAGAGGTAATAACTGGGAGAATATGATTCTGCAAGACAGTAACTTCCCTCATAAGCAAGCTGTGGAGCAGGTAAGCACTGACACAACATTAAGGAGAGGGGCAAGAACACAACCAGCAGTTGGTTTTGTATGCAGGTGCTCAAAATCCACCAGGACACAGCTTTGTAATTACAGTAAGTTCCCAACCTACAAACCAGTTCTGTTCCGAGAAAATGTTTTTTAAGTTGGATTCATTTGTAAGACCAACAAAGTGAGTCTTACACATTTTACACAAATATACAATGTAAAACATAGAAAAACCAAACACATGCATATCAATACAGTAAGTCCCCGACTGTACCATACTACTAGACACCATCTCACCACATAGAAGCACTCAGCAACACAAGCGTGACAATGTCCTGTGGACACATGAGCTATTTCTGTGGTTTGCATCTACAAACGGTTATCATTCAAGGTCTGTTCCTATCTGGGAAAGTTCCCAACTCAAATGTTCGTAAGTCAGGAACTTACTGTATAGCTGTTTTTAAAATTACAATTCTGTGAGTGAATTAACAAGCTCAGAGAAGTTCTGCACCTTGCATCAGATGGCACAGTAATGACTGATGAAATATTTCATTTGAAGAGTTCTCCTGAGTCACCTGTTCTCCTTCACCATGTTGTGTACTGAGTATGATAAATGTACATGCAACATGCTGGGGGAAGTTAAGCCCTAAAGAGAGGAGGACTATTTTTATGCTAGAGGTCTGAAAAGACTTCACCAAGGAAAACTCATTGAAATGGGACTATGAGACATGAAGAGGAGGCACAGTGCAGGCAAAGGTAAAAATGCTCTCCTCACGGGAGCTGAGCAGTTTAGAAGGGGAGGCTAGTGCCACACTGTAAAAGATATTCAGGGCTATTTTGCCTGTCGTTGGGCAGTTCAGGAAAGCAGGGCAGTGACACAGACAGATTTGGGTTTTCAAAAGAAATTAGATCGGCAGGTTGGTGAGTAAACTGGAGTATGGAGAAAGCAGGGGAAGGAAGAGGCAAGTAAGATAGTTAAGATAAGTGTCTGGAAGATAGAAATGTTTGTGTGCATTAGAATCACTGATGTTGTGAAGTGGAAAATTGGGAAAGAGAAAAGATTTTGTTTAAAGATTCTTCTAAAACACTTCTACAGTACACGTCTTGGTAGATAGTGATTGCCTCCATCAAAGCAGAGTATAAAAAACCAGTCTGAGGAGGAAACAGTAGATGGGAGGTGGGAGCTCCCTTGTAGTTTAGTGAAAGTATGTGCTATGAGTCCTGAATGGTCTGAGATGTCCTTCTATAACACCTGGCTTACATATGAAGCAGATAAACAAAACCGTGGCTAGAGACTTTGAAAGCAAGGTTGAGCTAGAGTTCTAAATTTTGGCACCATCTAAATCCACGTTGACAGCTGGAGGTAGAGGTCAATGATAGAGAACTTACCTCCCAAGCATGAGGCCCTGGGTTTAATCCTCAGCAGCAAAGAAACAAATAAAAATTCTTAAGTTGAATTAAAATTCCTACTGTGAAGGGGCACAGAGCCTTTTTTGGGGTGCTAGGAAAGTTCTATATTTTTATTCTGGTGTTTCCATTTGGAGAGTTCTGCATTCAAAGACTCCCCACACGCCTGCCTCTGTCCTCGGCCCACATCACCCAAGCAAGACCACATGGGTCACCGTCCCTATTTGGAGCAGCTGAGACAATAAATGTACTTGGAGAGTATAACATGATTCATCTCCGAACAAGAAATTTTTCTTATTGACTGATTTTAGGCTCATGGCCAATTTGGTCTCCTCATTTGGCACCATTCCTTCAGCATCACTTCTGAACTGTCCTTTCAGTGCTCAGCTTAAAACCTACTTTATAAAAAAATCCATTTCTAATTTGACAGAAAGAGATGAAATTCAATACTTACATTCAGCCACAGTGTAGAACAATTCACTATGAGTATACACTCAACCCAATTTGGGTATTTATGTTAGAATCTCAGTTCTATCATTTATGAAGCCTTTGTGACCTTGAAGAAAATGGGGTTAATAAAACCTACATTATGGTGGTGAGGAGTACGATAACATAAGTGAAAATCCTAAGGATGGCAGACTTCTCAAACCTGACTATGCTTTCTAAACCATTTGGTCTATATACGTTTCTTGAAAGTAAGAGCAATGTTTCTTGGGTTTTGTACTCTCACCTACACTAATTCAGTGCCATAATATCCTCAGGAGATGTTGAAGAATTATATTTAGGAAGTGAGCAGCTCAAGGATAAAGTTGAAAAATATTTACGCAATAAATATGTAGATGAAAAGAGATTGTTCTAGGGAGATGAACAAAAAAAGAAATTTGATTTGGACGTGGTGGCAAAAGTCTTTCTTTACATTTCTTCTTTCTATTCACTTAAATTATTTATCTTGTCGAAAAGAGGGTAAAGTGTCATCCTGCTGAATGTGGAGCTGTGAAAGAATCTGCCAGTACACCTGGTATTGATTCATGCCAGCTGGGACAGGAGCTTAGCTTCTCAGTGTTTTACTATTATGGTTTCCTAGGCTGGGCAGCTAGCTGGGTGCCTAATAATGATAAAACCCACAATAATACTTCATAATTACGTACAGTCATTTGCCAGAACTTGGATTTAATTACAATGACTATGATGGACCTGGCAATATCCTATTCCCTTTTGGGGTGCTATACCCAAGGGCCTGGAAATACAAAGTGAAGTGGCAACTGCAGCTTTCTCCTGCAGGGCCAATCCTGGCAGTTGACCCAGAGTTCCCTGGGTTTGAAGCTCATTATCTGAAACAAAGAGTACTTTTAAATTGCTTACATGTACTTGGCACTGTAAAGTAAAGTAGTATTTATTAAGCAACTACTGCCACCCATGGGGCACAGGATCCTGGAATGCCAAGCTTGGAAGCCAGGCACCAACACAGGCGATGTCATTCATGACCTCTCCTCTGCCTCCAAGTATCACTGCCACTACAATCAGACTGATGAATTCACTGGCTTTTCCTTGCTTATATGGGCTGGACATACTTTTATGGTAGTCTGATTTAAGAAGTATCAAGGGACTCACCAATTCACTTAACACTCATTTGTGAACACCTATTCTGAGCCAAGGCGCTGAAGGGCCACCAAGATGTGTACAATATGATCCCTGACCTCAAACAGTTTATTATCTAGTTGAGGAATTTGCAGCTGCAATATAAAAGTATAAAAAGAAAGGTAAGTCCTAGTAGATGAAAGGAAATGAAAGAACACCAGGTGAAAGGTTCAGAGCAATTTCCCTTGAAAAGATGGAAGATCAGAAGAGGGGCCGGGGAAACTGTGGTGAAGAGCTGGGCAGCAACTTTTCGAGATTCTGCTGGGTTTCCATTTACTGTCTTCATTAACACTTACCATTCCTGATTTGTCTTGTTAATTTATTCATACACCATTTGTCATTTTGTTCACCACTAAATTCCAAGTATATAACATAATACCTGGCACACACTAAAGTATTTTTAATAAATGTTGGTCTAATGAATAAATGACAGAAGTGAAGTGGTGGCAGTGGACAGGAAACGACATTTAATAAATCACACAATAAAGTGAGAAGGGATCAAGTGTTAGTTTTGTCACTGTAACAAATACTTGTGATGACCATCTTATTAAAAGTTTAACTTTATAATTTTGCAGTATCCAGTTCATGATAGGGTGGGTCTATTGCTTTTAGGACTTCAGTAGGGATAGGGGACATCATGTTGAGAGCTCAAGGTGGAGTAAACCTGTTCTTATCAAGCCCAAGAGAAAAAGGTAGAGACTAGGTCCCATAATCCCCTTTGAGGGCACAACCCCAATAACCTAAAATCTCCCACAATGTCCCACCTTTTAAAAGTTCCAGTACCTCTCAATATTGTAGGCCAAGGGCTCCTGGGGAACATTCCAGATCCAAACGATAGCAGATAAGGAGATGTTGGACCAGTGAGGAAGTAGATGGAGAATTATTACCAGTTTCAGCCTTAGATAAGTGGAGTAGATGGCAATACTATAAAAAAAAAAAAAAAAAGAAAAAAAA